GTTGATAAACTAGCTTCTCAAATATACCAGCCTATTTCAACTGACAAACTAAGGCAAACAATAATACAAATTGCAAATTCAATCCATGTTGCAAAAGTTGATGAGTTTGCTAAGCTTGCCTGTACCTGTGTTGCCATTGATGAGGGGAAGACTCAGCAGTTTCACAATCTGGACTTCTCCCTCACAAATCCTCTGCAAAGCAAGCGGCCCTATCCTGTTGAGTCAATCCAAATGAATGGTGGAACATCTGAAGATTATATCCACTCGCTTACTCAAGGATTTAACAGAATCTTCATTAGAGATGTTAAGATCAGCAGTGTAGTTTGCGATGGCAATAAAGCGCAATTGAAATGTTTTCAGAAAGGATGGAATCAATCGTTCTACAACTCAAATGACCCAAGGTTATTCAAAATCTTGTTTATCCCTGTGTTTATGCCACAGGATTCATAATTGTTATCAATATATGACAACAAAAGACGTAGCATTAGGAGCAATTGTGAAACATATCCACGAAATATCAGCTCTTTGTAGAATCCATGTTGAAGACATCGGAGCTCTCTGTCCAAAGCATGTATCCACCAGGTGGATCTATGATTATAATATTTGTATGTTTATTATCAAGTATCAAGAACAAATTTCAAGATATACGCGTAATGATATTGAAAACATCAAGTTCTTAAGAGACTGCTTGGCAATTCTCAAGAAGCTTATTTCCACGTTCGAATCAGATAAAACCAAGATATCTGATTGCTACGTATGGCTTTGCAAGGGTATTGAAGCACTCCAATACCTTTCCAGCAGCAACAACAATCCTTTTGCTGGAATCCTTTCAAGATCGTTGTTGAACTATACCCTTGGATCGGACTTTGGAGGTCTTTGGTGCTTAGCCTTCGCTTTTACACCGAAAGGTAGGTATTATTTCAACCAAAAATTCGTCCACGAGCGCAAATCAACGAATCTCCGGCAATTAATTCATTTGATATTACAAACGTAACTTTCGTTAATCCAGTAGAAGACATTCAATCTATCTATATGGACTCTATCTTTGAAGAAGGTTCGACTGAAGTTTCTCTTGATATGGTTGAGGAGGGATCAATTCGTCAGGTAACTGCTACAATTGACCCTCCTATGCTTGATCTCGCAGATGTAACATCTAGTTCAAATCAGCCGGTTAACCATTTTGTTGCAGCTAGGCAGTATCTCAAAAGTATTTTGGAACAATTTCGTATTCCGGTCAAACAATAACAGATATTATTACACTATTTAACACGTATATTAATAGTGATAATGATATCTTCTCTGATGATATGATTCAAGAACGTCAAGAATACGGTTGGGAAGAAATCTCTCATAGAGATGGCAATGTATCAATCTTTGCAGATATCGCCCTTCGTGTTATCTCCGCTTCACCTTCAGATGCAACATGTGAGAGAACAATAAAAGACCAAAGATTGATACTAAATTTGAAAAGATTACGTTCTCACAAAATTTTATTAGATAGCCGAGAAATTTTAATGGCTACAAAATAAATATCTATATTTATTATTAAAAATTGTTTTATATTTTATCTGTTCAATATTTATCTCATATAAAAATTTGAAATACTTAATCAAAATTTCTATGTGTTTGTTTGAAAAGATCGATAGCAATTCATATTGTTGCATGCTAAGTTCGGTCAACGATAGAAATTGAGTGGAAATTAATCGTCGAGGAAGTACGATTATGTAAAGTAAAAAATGTTGTGGGATTTTTAATATTATATATTATTTTATAATAAAAATTTTTTGATTCATTTTAAGAAGCACATATATTTTTAAAATTAAATAGTTTTTCAATTTTTTTGAAGGAATTGAGATACTTCCCACGACAATAAAATTGAGAGGTTTACATTATGACTGATCTTAGCATGCAACAATATATCTTTTGAATTTGCTAATTGTGGTGATGGTACTATTATTATTAATTTTTTATTTTTATTTTTTTTTATTTTTTTATTTTTTATTTTTTTTTTGATAATATACTATTTAGATTTATACATTCATTCAATATTATGAAATAAATATTTCTAAATTGATCTGATTAATTTTGAACTCACAGATCAATTGATACACTGCCTTGCATCAAGAAGCGGAGCATCTTTTATGGACTCTGTGGAATATGCCCTCGCGATTTGATGTTTTGTTAACCAATCAGCTTCATTACTCAGAAATATTTTAACGAGATCAGACGTCACAATCATTATGCCACAGAGAGGGTAAATTCACAAATCATCAGGCTCGATGATTCTCGAAGCGCCTTAAATGCCGCCATGCAATTGTTCTTGACTATCATTATCCTTGAAAATATTCGAATCGAAGAAGATAATGGTGCAAGAGTTTTAGAATTGTTTCAGGTTGGAGAAGAAGATTCCAAAACAAGAAGATCTTCTCCATATCCTACAAATATTAGAACGTATGGGAAGATCTACTTCGATTTCACCAGGAAAAAACATATAATATGCTTCATTTTGAACAACAAGGCGATCCACGACTCATTATTTCATCTTTTATGAACCCACATATGCGGGATTCAATTCATTGATGAGAATAATCAAGCTCAATGTGTTAACATGTTAAACTTCCTGAAGATGGAAATTTCAAAGAATATTTCGAGAATAAGAAGATTACTCATGTGAATGATACCTCTTCATTGCAAATGACCGCGAATCTCAAGAAGCTCAGCCAGAA